CCCCACCCTTATCCCACCCAGATCAGAACACTATCAGCTCTCACCTGGACCACTGCCACTGCCTTCTACCTAATCTCCTCATGACACTCACTCTATTTTAATCCCTGCTCCCCACAGTAGCCAGACTGATCTTTCTAATCTGAAGAATCTGATTATATCACTCACTCAACACCCTTCAGTAGTTTCTAATTGCCTTCGGGATAAATTATACATTCCTTGTCACAGCCCATAAGTCACTGCAAGCTAGTCTTTAGCACATGCTGTTCCCTCTGCCTGAAGTAATCTTCCTTCCTTCCCTCTCTCCTCCACCTCTGGTGGCCATCCTCTTCACCTTGCCATCCTTTCATCAGGGCTTAACTTAAATATCACCTCTTCCGGAAAGCTTCCCATGATACCCCGCCTCCAGATGAATGTCGGCGACACAGCTGTGTGCCCCTACAGCGCCCCACACCTTCCCAGGCAGCTTACCTGTCAACCTAGAGAGCAGTTGCTTGTTAAACTGTCCAGGTTCCTGCCTAACACTGTAAGCCACCTGAGGTCACAGTCTTTTCATGATCATCACTGTGTCCTGTGGCAGTGAGCGTATGGTGGACAGTCACTTCCTATGGGTTTGTAGAATGGATGAAAGATGGATGAATGAGCGGATAGGTAGATGGAAAAATGACACCTCCCCTTAAAGTCTTCCCGGAGTCCTTCAAGCAGGGAGGGTTTCTTCTGTGCTTCCTAACACCTAGTACAAACCTCTACCCAAGACTTAGTTTCCTCACTATCTATTGGGGAAATAAGTTACCTACCTCGTGGAGTTATTGATATTAAATGACATACGCCATGTAATAGTTTTAAGTCCCTGCAAATAATAAGTTGCTACATTTAAATGAGATAATCCACATAAAGTGCTTTAGAACAATATTTTGCACTTAGTACATGCTCAAAAAGTATTAGCAGCAATAATTATCATAGTTTTTCTCATTTCTCCCTTCCTGTGATCCCTGCTAAAGAGTGAGTGCCTCAGGGATACTGCTCACGTCTAACTTATTTTTGGATACATCACCACTACCACCTGGCAACGCCTCGCTAGGTGTTTTCAGTAAATGTTTACGGAATGAACAAATGAATGCCGATTTGCCAGCTGATGAGTCAGGGCACAGCACCCCCTTTCATCATTCACAAACCCAGACACACGACACCAACACCAACACAGTCTCTAATACATTCACACCCCCGTTCATTCCAGGAACCCCAACATGCCACCGAGCAGCCACCCAGTTTCTTAAAGTCAGCCATGCGTAAATGCAGAACTTACCCACTTTCTTGCGCCCTCCACACACCACCGAAAGGACCAACAGCCCTGCCCACCCCTCGAATGATGGGGCTGGAGGAGTGAGGGAGCTGCCACTCACAAGAGGAACAGCAAAGCTGGGCCTTCAGCGCCCAGCAGGGGTGCATCCCAGCTACAGACAGCGCTGCCCTCCCTCCCCAGGCTCACCTCCTTCCCTTTCTGCAGACCTGGACCCCCAGTCTTGGCAGGTGGCTGAGGAGGAGGCTTGCCAGCCAGAACTCCGGGGTTCCTTCCTCACTCACCTAGTCCCATCTCTGAACCTGGACGCACAGACCACTGTCCTCCTCTGCTGATGCCCAGCACAGCAGGCTGTAAGAAGAAGGCAGGAGCGGAGAGCCAAGGCCTAATGATGGAAGAGCATCGTAGCCTTGATGTGGAATCATTTTCTTAGCCACCATCGACTGGGTGCATTGCAAGGGCCAGATTCTGAGTCCAGCGCTTTCCATTCATTACATCCCATTTTATCCTCACACCCCTTTTTCCAGCTGCAGGTTAACCGACCAGCCTAAAATCACCTAGGTCTCTGCTTCCTGAATCTTCAAGGCCAGACTCAGAGAATTGGGGGGTGGGGTGGGGGGGAGGGTGCGACTGCTGGGGTCCTCAGGCATTAAGCTGGGAGAGGCTCGCCCCCGCCCCCATCAGCCAGGTCCTCATCTCCTCCAGAAAAGGGGCCCTGGACGCCGGGGCAGGGCTTCACCCCCATCAAGACGCGGGGCCTGGTGAGTCGGTGGGAGACGCGGGCCGGTGGCCCAGGCTCCCAGGCCAAGATGGCTGTTAATTAAAGTGCTGGCACTAGCTCCTCTGCAAAGTTTGAAGCCGTTATTTTCCACTCCAGCGAAGCGGGGAGAATCCGGCTGGGCCGACAGAGACGCCACAGCGCGCCCGGGGAGCAGGCGTCCTTTGGGGGGCGAGGGGGGGCGGGCTGCGGGGGGCCAACGAGCCCCAGCCGCCAAACGGAGGAGGGACCCGTTTGCGGGCGAACCGGCGAACTGCGGGGAGGGGGGTGCGGGGTGTACAAATCATACGCTAATGGCGCGCACTTGTCCCTGGAATCACCAGCCGTGCGGCCCCTCGGAGAGTCACACCGGGCGCCGGGATGACAGCCTCGAGCTAAGGACGCCTCTTCCTGGGCCTGGGGCGCACCAGCTGCTTGGAGCACCCCTCCACCTGCGCTGGCACCTTCCTGCCTCTGGGCAGTAAAGGGACTTAATGGCGTGGAGGTGAGAAGAGCGTGGAGCCAGGCTGCGGGTTTGAATCCCGACTCTGCCACTTACTAGTTGTGTGACTTTGGGCAAATCTCCTAACTTGCCAGAGCTTCTGTCAAATGAGAATGACGGTGGGTGTTACCTCTAGGGCAGTGGTTCTCAACCTTGGCTGCACATTGGAATCACCTGGGAATCTTTTTTAAAATCCTGATTTCCGGGCCTCATCCTTCGGAAATTCTATTTCTTTGTTATGGGGTGAGGCCACAACATTAGTAACAAAGAGACAGAATTTCTGGAGGATGAGGCCCGGAAATCAGGATTTTAGAAAGAGTCCCAGGTGATTCCAATGTGCAGCCAAGGTTGCGAACCACTGTTCTATGGCCTGGTGTGAGGATCAGGTGTGGCCACAGGAACTGTGTTAGCTCCCTTCGTAGTGTCCCTCTAACCTGGGGTCAACCATCAGTGCTTGCAAGGTCCTCCTTCACAGCCCCACTTGGTATGCCTCCCGCAGTCCCTGCCATCCACCCAGCTCTGGGCCGGGTGAAGCAATCAGCCTCGAGTAGAGAAAGCCAGGGCACCCTAAGGGCCCCGGGACAGGTCAGCAGGGGAGAGTGTGAACTGGGAAGCGGACTTTCAGGAGAAAAGAAAAGGCTGGAGAGTCGTCCTTTAGCGGCGACCAGAGACCTCCAAAAAGGCAGAGCCTCCCTGGTGGGCTGGATGGAGCAGGGTGCACGAGGAGAGGTGGAACCGCGCAAGCTGGGCCTCAAATACTGTGACAACTGTGTTTATGGAAGCAGACACATTTCAGTTTATGCAACCTAAACACTTTACTGCTCCCGAGGAAGAGGACTGCCTCATACAACCTGATGGGGAGGAGAGTTAGGGGGCTGCTGAGAAGGCTGGGGTGGGGGCGGGGAGGAGGAGCTGAGGGGCTGGGAGAGCTCAGCCTTTTCTCTTGAACGCTGGGAAAGGGGGAGCTCCCCAGGGACATACGTGAACTGGGCAGAATGGAGAAGTCATGTAGGCCCCCCCCCACTCCTTCCGGTCTAAAAAGATAAGGAAAATGATCGGAGGAAGATAAAGGCGCCCCCTCCCCCAGGATGGAGCAGCCTGCTGGGCCTGGAGGCCAGTGAGGAGGGATCAGAGGAGGGGAGGAGCGGGTGAAAGAGTTTGCCCCTTCCGGGTGAAGGCGGTCCGGGATCAGCCAGGGGCCAGGAAGGAGGAGGGGCGGCTGCTGGCAGCACTCGGGATCCCGTGGGCACCGTCACAGGCACCCAATTCCCCCTGGATCTCCCGGATGGTGGTGCTCGGATCCTGAGTGCGGGATGCCTCCCCATCCTCATCTTCTCCCCCCACATAACTCTCCTCCTTGCCCCTTCTGTTCCCCGCCCCGTCCTCCCCTCAATCTCTTTCTTTGCCCCTGCAGACCCCGTATCCCCCTCCCCTTACCTCCGCCCCCTGCAGTCCGTAGCCCCTCTCGCCTCTTTCGGTCTCCGATTTCCCCCGTAACGGACCCTCGAGGCCTCTCCTCTCTGTCCCCCTCGGCTCTCTCTAACTCTCCCAGTGGCCCTCCCATTAGCCCTCTCGTCTCTGCTCTCTCCTCCCTGTGGGAGCCTCTTCTCACCCCCTCCCCCCCTCCTCATCTGGCTCCCCCAGACTCTCCCTTCCTCTCCCGGCTCCACTCCTCCCCCCGCGGCCCCGCCCCGAGGC